TTCCTTTTAAAATTATTCTAATAATTTCCTTTATAATATTTGTCTTATTTTATTCTGAACTTCATACATACTAAGTAAAATGAGCATTCCCATATACAGAGTAGAATGGAAAAAGAAGATTGTAAAATTGCAAGTGAAACTAAGAATCTTTATTAGATACAACTTGCTTTTTTAACCAGTACCAAATAGTTTTGATAATTATAGTTTTTTTAAATACTTTGAGATCTGGTACTGCTAAGCCTCTTTCTTTGCCATCCCCCCCCCCATTATTTCCCATTAGAGTCTTAATCTTTTGTTCCTTCTCTTCCTCATGATCACAATTAACAGGCACTTATTAAGCACTTACTATATGCTCGGCATATACATACATACACACATACATGTACATATACATACATATGTATATATAAATACATATATGTGTATATATACACATACATGTATACATACATATATGTATGTATGTATATATATGTATATATATGTATGTATACATGTATGTGTATATACATACACACATACATGTACATATACATACATATGTATATATAAATACATATATGTGTGTATATATACACATACATGTATACATACATATATATACATACATACATATATATATATACACATACATATGAATTAAAGAAAATAAAATCATGGTCCCTGTCCTCAAAAAACTCACATTCTAATAGGGGCAAAAATATGTGAAAAGCTATGTACCTACAAGATTTATACAGTGTAAAAGTCCCCCAGGAAAATAGTGTTATTTTTCCTAGCTCTATAAGTAACCCTTTGGTAATTCCATTGGTATGGCACTGAATAAGTAAATTAATTTTGATAGCATTGCTATTTTATTAGTTTAGCATGGCCCAACCATAAGCAGTTAATATCTCTCAAAGGATTTAGGTTACTTTATTCATGCAACATTTTTTTGTAGGTGTATCCTCATAGTTCTTATGTATGCCTTGGTAGATGAACTCCTAAATATTTTATATATTCTATAGTTATTTTAAATGTAATTTAGCTTTCTTTTTCGACTGAGTTTTGTTGGTAATTCACAGAAAGGCTAATGGTTTATGTCAATTTATTTTATATCCTGCTACTTTGATGAAATTATTAATTATTTTGATTAATTCCAGTTGATCCACCAAGGTCACACAGATCCTATCACTTCCATAAAGTAATATTTTTCCTTCTATGCCTAGGTTAATTCAATCAATTTCTTTTTCTTGTCCTATTGCTGTTCCCTAGCATTTCTAGCACTGTACCAAATAAAAATGTGGGTAATACGTAGAAAGGCTTCTAGTTTATTTCCATGATATACAATATTGTCTTTTGATTTTAAATACATGCTGTTTACCATATTAAGAAAAGATCCACTTATTCCCATGCTTTTTAATGTGTTTTAACTGAATGTATATTGTATTTTGTTGAAAGGTTTTCTGTGTCTGTTGAAGTAATTATGATTTTATTGTTTTTATTATTAATATGATCTATTATCTTTATGGTTTGCCTAACTACAATATTGAACCAATCTTGTCTTTCTGGTACAAATATGACTTGGGTCATAATGTAATGCTGCCACCGTCTTTTTGCTAATTTTTTTTATTTATATCTTTTGATTTTTATATTATCTAAGTTTTACCCTCTAGCCCTCTCCCTTCTCTTCTGAGGGAACCATCTCTTATAACAAAGAATCATTTTTAAAAACAAAATGAAGAAGAGGAAAAATGGATCAAAACACAAAACACCCTGAAATTCTTTACCTGTGGCCATCTTCCCAGCTGCTAAGGAGTGGGGGAGGTGTCATGTCTTGCCTTTGGGGCAAAGCACATTCTTTATAATTTCGTAATTTATTTTTTGTTTTGTAGTTGCTTTTCCCCCCATTTATATTATTGTAATCAGTTTTACGTATTGTTTTTCTGGCTCTGCTTACTTCACGTGCCTTTTCATGGCTCTTCTATTTATTATATTCATTGTTTCTTACCACACGGTTATATCATATTATGTTCACGTACCACAGTTTGCTTAGTCATTCCCCAATTGATGGACACCTACTTTGTTTCCAGCTCTTTGCCGCCATGAAAAGTGCTACTATAAATATTTTGGTGAATATGGAGCCTTTCTTTTTTGTTAATGACTTCTTTGGGATATGTGCCTAGCAGAGGAACACCAAGGTCAAAATTTATGGAGGCAGCTAAATGGCAGAATACATGGAGCATTGGACTTGGAGTGAGGAAGTCCAGCCTCAAACATCTGCTATCTTTGTGACTTTGGGCAAGTCACATAACCTGCTACCTTCCTCTCAGTTTTCTCATCTGAAAAATGGGGATAATAATACTTGTCATGAGGATAAAATGAGATAATATTTGTAAAGTGCTTTGCTACCCTTAGAGTGCTGGCTATTATTATTAATTCCAAGTTGCTTCCCAGAATGATTGTACTGATTCTCAACCCCACTAACAATGCATTAAACGTATCTGTCTTTCCACAGTCCCTCACAATGACTGATCCCGTGGTTATCCCCTTTGCCATTTTGCTGGGTATGAGGTGAAACCTCAGGGTTATTTTCATGTGCATTTCTCTTATTATTAGTGATCTCTTTTGATAGTTAAGGATTTTGTCTTTTTATTTATTAGGCATATTGGCCAACAAAAGCATCAAGTTAGCTGGAATCAGGGAGCTCCAGGGAGGGGATACCCAGGAGACAGACGGAGTATTCCAGTGAAGTCCTGAGGGGAAACTGCATGGAGGGGATTAGGAATGGTGTTGGTTTCAGCCTTGGCCTTGACCAAGGTCTGAATGTCTTGGCATAGGTCTCCTTCCCCACTGTGCCTAAAGGAGGGTGATCCTGAAAGCTGGAGTTCTCTTACCATCAGTGTCCTAGCAATATCGCCACCTCAGCTAACAGTGGAGTCTGCAAGAGGCCAAGGACATATTGACAGCTTAGCAAGACTAAACAAGTTTAGCAGATCGTGCCAGCCTTAAGGGCCATTTCTTAAGTGCCCTGGGAATGGGAGAAAAGGACATTTAGCACCAAGGAGCAGTGAGTCATTACTTTGTCCCTTGTGCTTTTCAGCCCACTTTCCTTTGGATTCCTACTTCCTGTGGGAGCGGGCAACACAGGCTTTTAGGAGGATATTTTATCCCAAAGGCTCTTCTTATATATCACATGAGTACAATTTACGCCTGGTTCACTAAAATGACTTTTGACCAATGATCTTGGAGGAAGCACATTCACGGCACTCCAAGCCAGTAATATTAGAGGACCATCCCCAAATCCTCAAGGAATACCCCTAGGATTAGAGAGAGAGAGAGAGAGAGAGAGAGAGAGAGAGAGAGAGAGAGAGAGAGAGAGAGAGAGAGAGAGAGAGAGAGAGAGAGATAGCTTTGCTCCATAACCCAAGACTTGTCTGAGAGAATGGGAATTGGGATAAAGAAATACCTTCCTGGAGAGAGCCTGAGCTTTTCCTTGAAGGTATGGTCTATTTCATCTCTCTTGGTTTCCCCAAAATCTAGCACAGTGCTTGGTACATAGGAGCATCTTGATAAATGCTAGTTGACTGGTTGAGTCTAGTACCCACATTGACAAGATCACAGACCCTTGAAGGATGGAAATACTTTACCATATTTAAGGGGGGGGAAGAGTGTCATCTGTAGAGGAATTTTCACATACATAAAATGTCAAATTGTTCAATCTGATTTGTTTCTTTCTACATTTGTGCCTTCTGTATGTTTGTAATACATACCTTTCCTTAGACTGTGAGCTCCTTGAGGGCAGGGACAGTGCTGATGCTTTTCTTTGTATGTATAATGCTTAGCATAGTTCCTGGCACATAGTAAGTGTTTAATAAATGCTCATTGGCTGACTAACTTACATTGTTATTGACATAACTGTTCACTAGCTACATCAGTCTCTAAACAAATCCTCTTTCTTTCTTCCAAATGATGTGTCTATAAATTGTTAAAGAGAAGGCGATATTGGAAAACTGAGGCTTTTGCTTGAAAACACTGGTTTCTGGAGAACATTTTTTGGGGGCAAAGACAGAAATGAAAGTTGAATAAAAGATGAAAATGGCTGACAGAAAACTATTGTTTTTTGGGTTTCATTCCTTGACAGACCACTTTTATTAGGTCATATATCATAATATCTGGTCATAATTAAGTGAGATGTCACATCAGGAAGTACATATAAACATAAGCTATCTTTATACTTTTATTTGACAAATATATCTGAGCCCTGTGTTACCAGTTAATAAGACTGGAAAGCTGGAAACAATGCTTTTGTAATGTGTAAAATTCAGAGATTTGACCATTTAAGTGGAAAAGCATATTTCTGGTTTGGAAGCCATAGAAAGTGAATCTTTGTGATCACAATGGAAGGAAAAATGATGTCCTTAACATCTGGCCAGTGAAAAAATGTCTGTATCAATTTCTATGTCAACAGGAGGAGGAATAGCATACAAATATGAAATGCCATTCCAGTTCTCAGAGTGTGGTCCAACTTCACAGGCTCTTGACAAAGGGATACACATTTGATGTTCTGGGTCCCATTCCATAGATTCCACAGGCCATAACATTAGTGGTGACCAATGCTAGTAATGATGACCATCACCTGAGACCTGAAAGGGTCCTTAGAAGTCATGGAACCACATTATCTTAGAGTTAGAGCTGAAGAGACCTAAGGCTATTTCATTCAAACCCCTCATTTTATGGATGACAAGACTGAGAGGATCAATGAACTGTCAAAAGCTACACAGGTAGATTGTAATGGGACAGAATTTAGGTTCTGTGGTTGCAATGCTCTTTCCTTTGGGCCAGGTTGCTTCTCAGCCACTGTTAGTGAGAAGGGATATCACACTAATAACAGCAAATCAGGAAACCGTGACTGAACGTGGAGAGTTTTTCACATCAAAATTAATTATTGAATTGTTGTATATGGAACATATGCATAGAATCTGGAACAAGAAAGAATTGAAAATGTATATCTTAAAAAGGCAATTCTGCACTGTTTTTTATTCAACATGTGGAATTAATTATAATACAGGTACAGTATGTTGATATACACCTTTGACCACACTCCATTAATGAGCATATTGTATATATTTTCATTAGTAAAATGCATGTTAATGCCTTCTCCTTTAGCTACTGCGGAAAATCATGCAAGTACTTAGCTTTTGCATTAAAATGATAGAGACTTAATTGCTTCAGAAGAGATACTAAGAAAATCATGTGCATCCTTAAGTTGGCAAAATTATCATTTGATTTGTCTTATTCCTTAGGCTTGACATAAGGAAAATCTTCCTGACCAACAGAGCTATCTACAAGTGGAACAGCTTGCCTTGGGAGATGCTGGGTTCAAGCAGTGGCTGGGTAATCCCTTCCAACTCAGATTCTTCAATTGCTTAACCAAGGTAAGAAGGATCAGGGAGATAGATCAGAGCAGACCACTGAAGTTCTAATGCCTTTTAGTTTCCTGATCTATAGGAGAAAGGTGGTGATAGCATCCTAACATGTAAGAATTTGGTTTAATTCTTCCGTGGTGTATTCGTTCAACATATTTTTATTGAGAGCCTATGAGCTATACAGGGGACTCTGTTTCCATCATCTAATGATGCACATTTATAGAAACTGCTTTCTCAGAATATCAGGTGGCAGTTTAGTACACTCCACTTAGTAAGAATAGGATTGTACAATACATAATGACGTTGACATTAAATGGGTGTTAGCAACAGAGAATGGGGTAGGACAGGATGGTGATTGGATACCTACAGCGCGTATGATTCAACCTTAAGATACTTGAAAATATTTTAGTTTCAACAGATGTGCTTGACTAAGCATTGATACGTCTATTTGAAAAATACTTTTTTCCTTAAGATTGGGCATCTGAAATCCCAGGATGTTAATGAATGCACACATCATGCACATACTTTGAAACTAAGTATCATGTAATTAGGCCACTCAAAAGAGTTATCTTGTTTTCTAGGAAGGTATGTGTCAACTCTGCATACTATGGGCCAAGGAGACACTGCTTATGATATTGTTTTTGCATAGTATACAGGTATATACGGCCACTGAGCGTCCTACATATTAGTGAGAGAATGCTGAGTGAAGGAGTCCATGACAGATTCAGATTCATAGGGATGAATATCATCTATGAACTCTCCAACTCTGCTACTGCATGCTATAGCATGTGTACCTTTAAAAGGTCTCTGAGATACTTTTCACATAATTAAATGGAGTTTTAGCACATAAACCTCTTGGCACATAAAAAAAAATTGTAGGATTTAGTGCTGGAAGGGGACTTCAGACACCAGCTATTCTAAGGCTGTCATTTTACAAATGAGGAAATTGAGGTCTACAGATGTGAAAGACTTACTCAGTCATTAGTAGTGAATAGTAGGGCTGGGTCCTTGTACTCCAGATAAATGCTGTGCTATAGCACGCTGCCTTGACCCAGGCCAGTCATCATGCCTACAGGATACCAAGGGAGGACTGAATGGATCAACGCACCATCCAAGTTTGAACTTTCTTTAAAACAGCCTCTTAAGCTCATTGCCTCACCATGGCCACTCAGATTACTAGCATCATTTCTTCTTGGCAAATTATTTAATATAACCAGTTTCATTTAAAGGAATTAAATGATATTTCTTAGCGAATGTCATCTGTTATTGTTGGTGAGTATTTACAATACAAGTGAACCAATCCACTCTATTTTTCAATCCAAAAGAAAATGGGAAGTCTTTTGGAATGAGAAAGAAAAACCTTACCTGGAAGCCTGGGCTTCAGGTCAAAAATTAAATGTTTTGGTGTATGTCTTGGTACCTTGCCTTAAATTAAAAAAAAAAAGAAAAACAATACAACCACCAAAATATTTCAATTTCCTTCTCTACCACCAGCCCCTAACCAGAGGAAGTGAGAAAAAGGAAGTTTAGGGAAAAAAAAACCCCATACATATTTATATATCATATGCTTTCTAAGTAAGCACATGAAGAATATAGTTATACAGCTAATGTTTTTATTCTCACTAATTTCAACTCCTTCCATCAAATGATTCCTTTCTTGTTTCATAGTTAGCAGAGATGCACGAAAAATTGAACTCTTAATAAATTAAAGGAACTGGAAACTTTTGGGGTAGAGTTTGAAGTTTATGGGAAACCAGCTGCCTCTAGAGTAGCTTAGCTGTGCTTCAATATTAAACAGTATTTTAAAGCTGAATTGGGAGTTTTCAATGCTCCCAATTCAGTTTTTTAAATAAAAGTTCAATGTTGAAGGAGCCCAGCTGCCTACAAGATATCATCTGGGGTCAGGCAAATAGTAGACTGAAAGGAAACGGGCAGTCATGGATCCCTTCTCAAGGAAACTCATAGCCCTGGTTAGCTGTGTTCAGAAAACCTATGGGAAAATATTAAGAACAGAAGTTAGAAGAATTTTTAAAATTGAAATATGAATGAAAGATTTTATAACTATATCCTCATTTAGTTCTCTGACAATTAGCAAGTTTAATTTTGCTACTGTGTAGTTTGCTAAGGTTTAGTCTCTCTAGGATTAGGTAACAATATAAAACCAATGTTAGGAGAAAATGAAGTCACAATGTAACATACATAGCCTTTAGGCTTCAGGTTTTGTGTTCTCATATTCCTAAGGTAGTTTCTAGACCTAGAAGAATATAGGCAGTCCAATGAACTCAAAAGTTATTGGAATTACTAACAGCTAATAACTATTCTTCAAAATCTTGCTTACTAAGGAATTTTCTTAAAGAGCCATTTTTTCTGTTTATTTTATGTGACTATTAATGGCCTTTTAAAGTGTTTATACATTAGTATAAGGAACAGTGTGAGCATAATTCACATAGCACAAAATAAAAGCAGCTGTACCCATTATAAGAGCATCACTGCCAGGGATTCTAAATATGTTTGTGCCTGATAGCTTTTGGACTCCAGAATATCCTGCTATCTCGGTTTAGCAGGCAAAATGTTAACCAAGACAAGGCAGGTTATGATTTTCATCGTGGAACTTCAATGTCCGTGTGTGTGTATGTGTGTGTGTGTTACACACATGCCATCAACATGTAAATTTTACAAAGGCTAATACAAGTCTTGAGAGAGAAATTTTCAGATGGTCTTTCTCAAATGAACAAGGTACTGCTGGGAAAGTACCACTAGCCACCTAGAGAGAGAGAGGGCATGCCTTCAATGTCCTTTACAGTGAGTATACATAAGCAGACAAACCCTCCCATAGCATACCATACAAACAATTTTAATTGTGTAGTTACAGTCAATAACCACTCCTAGTCAGAACAGTTCTGCATAAAGAAAATTGTGATACACTTATAAAAACAGCTAGCTGTACCAAAATAACTGGTGTTTTCATAGCAATAAACTCATAAAAAAGAAATACACCTTTGTACAGAAAATTTATACAGATGTTGCTTTGAAATTGATTGTAAACCAAAGGAAGACACATTGCAAACATCAATTATTTTCACATTAATTGCATAAGTTTCTAAGGTGATCTATTAGTTTTATTTACCTAAGCTTATTTGCATGATAGTAAAAATTGCATACAACAATAAGAGTGAAGCTTATAGAATGAATTGCTTGGATAACATCGAGCACTTTTTATAGGCAACTGTGTAAAGCACATTTTCTCTATTTAAAACTTTTAAGACACTTTGTTTTACTGCCCATCAAAATACATTTATAAATAGAAAAGAATCAGTATGAGAACGAGGAAGCAATATTACATTTAACGGAAACTTCCAAAAAAAATTAATTACAACATGATGCTGCAGGATCTACAAATAAATAATGAGGACTAAATTGTGTTTCACATTTTCTTTCCATTTTGAAAAATCATGTAACAATGAAAATGAAAAAAAAATATTACAGTGACCTTTTATTTCCAAAAAAGAAAACAAATCTGAATTACGGCAGTGCCATATAATACAAGGCATTTGTTGGCGTGTGTTATTTTAAAACTGCATTCCACAGTATATAGTTCTTTTGTAACATACAATAGAGCAAGAGGAACAAACTCTCTTTTTCTTTAAAATAAGTGTGAGTTTTCAAAGATCAAGTGTGGAGTGTTACAGTAATAATAATAATAATAATAATTAATAATAACAATAATAAAAATGAAACAATAATCACCAAAGTTGTAATGCTTCTTTGAAAGCTTCAGAATCAAAAATCACTGGTATCATGCTTATTGGATACAACAGGGTGTAGCCAGTGAACACAAATTAATATCAAACAATCCTCAATGCTTCATCTGTAGCTGTAGAGCAATTTGTAAAACAGAGTAAAACATTTAGCGGTCTGCATTATCCATTTTTTTTCATTTCATGTTTGTGTGTGTGTGTGTGTGTGTGTGTGTGTGTACGTGCGTGTGTGCAAGTTTCTGAAGACTCATTGGCCAAACAATGAACAACAAAGGTTTCTGAGAGAATGCAAGATGGAATTTTCATTTAATTAGTTAATACCAGTGGCACTGTTGAATGAAAATAATACTTTTATCTTAGTCTTTCAGATCAGCATTAATGTCCGTGTTCCCTTCCACTGATAACTCTTCTTCTAGTTTCACTGAAAAAAGGGAGTTTGCATTTTTATCTTGGACACTTTCTTCCAAATCTTTCAGCAATTCTTCTTCTTTATACTCTGCAACATCCACCTCTAAACCCGAATTGTCCTTCAGTTTCCCATGATGCTTGAGATAATATCGCTGGTTCTGAAAGAACTTAATAATAGTATACTTGGGAAGGTCAAGCTGGGCAGAGAGAGTCTGGATTGCTTCTTCATCTGGATACAGGCCTACATCTTGTATAAAGCTCTGTAGAATTCCCAGAGCTTCAACAGAAATTTTTGTTCGAGGTCGTGTCTTCTGCCGATTTTCATCCTCTGATTCGGCTGGTGAAGCAACAGTAGGCTGCCTAGGGGGAAGTCGGGGCCCAGGCTGCTGTTGCTGGGGTTGGGGCTGCTTTGCTGCTGCTGCTGCTGCTGCTGTTGCTGCTGCTGTTGCTGCTGCTGCTATAAGGACAAGAAAAAAAATTAAGTTCTATTTTTGATACTAATCTATAAAGCTTACTGGAATAAAAAAAAAAGTAGTCATCATTCCCACAAATGGCTCCTTAGAGGAACAAAGAGTTGGAATAAAAAGCATAAGACAGCTAAATGGCTCAAAACATTAAAAAAAATCCACCTCAAAATAATATGACCTAGGAAGGAAGAGTACTAATATGGTGGATTATCATGGATTGGTGGAACCTTTAAATCCCTGATTTTGGGCCTCTGCTCTGAAAAGTCACCAGTTAGCATTCTGGAAAAAGTAAGCAATAAACTTAATTTGGAGGATACAAAACAAAGAAGAAATTAACCAAGTAAATCATGATGTAATTAACGAAGATATTTAGAACAAGGATTTAGAAACAATTGGAATCAAAGATGTTTTCAAAAGGTGAGCTATAGGAACCAATGGAAAGAACTAATGGGTGTGTGTGTGTGTGTGTGTGCGCGCGTGTTAGTTATTCTCAACCAGGAGCTGGAAAATGTCATTTTGTTTGAAGATCATGTTTAAAATCGAAGTCAATTCATCAAGATCTGTTACTGTTTCGAGTTACTATCCCTTTTTAGTCCAAAAGAACCAGTGAAAGTCTCTGATTTATGACTTTCTTATCAAGTGACACCAAAAAAAGTAGCAAAGCTCCATGACAAAGACCAAGAGGATGTATCAATGGACATCTTCATCATGACTGAGCTGTAAAATTTTACTTTAGCTGATTCTGGTGTGTAAAGACTTTTTCTCCTTAGCCAAACTCATATTGCGAAGTTTCAAATTTAGTGTAGGCATGCTTGTTAATAATTAGTATCTATATGTGCTGTAATTTGCTATATATAATTACACATAATAAATACGACACATTCACATATTGTATGCTGTAGATACTTTTTTTTATCCAGCAAGGCAAATCAACCTGAGTAAGCAGCAAAATATTAGAATGTTTATACTATGCATAAGCATTTCCTTTTATCCCCCTAAGAAGCAATTTTATTAAAAACAATTTACATTTTCAAACAAGTACTGTTTTATACTTAACATATATCTTTTTCTTTTTTAGTTTTGCTAAATCAAACAGTAAATTTTTCAGGCTTTCACGATTATTTTAGTGCTTGATATTCTGAGGGATTGCCTTTTTCAATATGTTTTATCTTTAATACATACTCATGGCTTTTTTCCTAGTGGCTGGAAAGCTCCATTCTTTTTAGCTTTGTAAATATATATGTATTTTCTCCTATAGAGATAATATAAGTAATTCACAAAGATAGCAGAGTTGGAGAATTCTGCCAACTGTTTTGTCTTCCAAAGAGGAAACTGAAAAGATGTCTGTAGATTTCTCAAACAGCAATGAATGATGTAGCGTTAAGTTCACCCTTGACAGCAGTAGAAGCAAAAGGGTACCCTGATGAACTATAGGAATACAGAGTTTGACACTGGGAACCCAGAACCTGGACCTTTTGTGTGGGAGTGGGGAAGGGAAGGAATTCTTATTCTTCCTAAGCACAGGTTGGATTCTGTGGCAAAACCTCCTTTTGGGGTTGCTGCTATTGTGTGGTGGGGGTTTCCCCCCCCAAGTAATGATAAATTATTTCTCTTTGATGGAGGGAGTGGGTCCTTGAAACCCCCCCTTCTCTCCCTGACATGTTTAACTTGTGCCAGCTCACCTGTGGAGCAGCACCCAGCCATGGTCCAGGGGTCAGCAGGCTTGGTGAGAAAGTACCTCTAGGCTCTCCTTTCACAAGGGTGGTGGGAGAGGGGCTCTGAAGGAAAAACAAACATACATTGACTCACCCCTGATTTGGGATTTCTAAGGGAGGGACAAGTGAGAGGATATTAACAGACTGAATGGGAGAGAAGATGTAGTTGGGTTACTATTTTATTCTTGCACTGAATCCAAGATACAGAAAGGCTAAGTCTGTAAGAAACTTTCTCCACACCAGCATTCATTCCTTTACTTGGGACCTATAATAGTGTCAATCAGAGGTGGGCTTGGATTTTAAATTCTGATTTAAAAGCAAAGGTACAAGCTAACCAACCCACCAACAATTTTTAAAAATCCACATATACCAAAAATCAACAAATAAATAAATAAATAACTTCCCATTAAGAAAGATTCTTTCCAAGCTACAAGTGTCAAGGGAAAGCTGTCACACTCGGGGGGGAAAAGCACACAATAAGGAAAGGACACATTGATTCTCCTTTTATCTTCCAAGGAAGATGACAGTGTATTGTTATATCTTGCTAAGAAGCCTGTTTAGTCTGGCAGCAAAAAAAGAAACACTCGTTTCCTTTGCTAAGTTTCAAGCTTTATTTACTTAGTGCTATATTGGATTGGCCAAGGTAAACTAACCTGAATCTGTTCAGCTGGAACATGGATAATGTGGGAAGGTCTGTCACCATGGTGATGAACAGCGTTGCTTTCTTGTTCATAAATGGCATCTCGTTCGGGCTGAGGAAGACTGAGGAACCTTCTGATCATGGAGAGATTCTCCCACAGGGTCCTGTTTTCTGGAGATGGGTCTTCTTTCCAGCGTAACAGTTCACACAACCACCCCTGAAAGGTAAATGTACCACATGGTCAGCTTACAGTAGTGGATGGTTGACATAACAGTCTCCCTTTTGTATTTAAGAAAAATCAATAACAAAATTAACATTTTTCATCATTTTAAAACACTCTTCTGAACTACGATCTACTACTAATTGTGAGACTGTCGACAACCTTTTAATTTGTATCCCAAATCTACCTCTGCAACAGTGGTTTGTCATAACTGTTTGTACTGGCAGCCCCAGTTTTCTCTTTTAGGGATTAAAAATACATTTTCAAGACTCCAAAGCATGAAAGCATTTATCCAAAGTTCCAGAATATGAATAGAAGTCTATCAAACTTCAGTGTATGTATACTATTGCATATTTCTCTTTCCTGTTGTATATGCCAATTTGTTTCCAGTTGAGGAGACTTAATATAGGTAATGATTTCCCCTTTAGGGAATTATTTTTCTCCTAAAAAAGGGGCTGCTTGCTATTGTTTAATTATTTTTCCTATTCTGGACAAGAAGAACTTTAGAACTTAGGTTTTTACTAAAAAGCTGTCCAACATAAATCATAGCAATGGAAACTTTCTTTAAGATCCTTTTAAAAGAAAAGGATCCCTCAGTAAGATACCTAAAGGGTAGATTTTATTCCTTAGCATCAATGTACAAAGGTGGTTGGAAGGCCAAAGGATTCATTGTTTTCCTAAAGACTAGAAGGAAGAACAAAAGGATGAAAGACAGAATGTGCCCTCAGCAGAATCTCTGGTGAGTTTTAGTTAGATCCAGCCATAAAGGCCTGAGTTACAATTTCTTTGAAAAATCAAAAGGTTAAAGGATAGTACACCTGTCTAGAACCCCCCACCCAGGGGTTACTGTCTTAGTTACTTTGCTAAACTAGGTAAGAGGGCTCTATGGGAAAGAGGTGCCATGGGAAGTCTCCAATACAGACAGAGTCATGTTACAGCTAGAAGGAGACACTGACTCATTTTGTAGATAAGGACAATAAAGGCAAGGATATTAGTCAGGAAAGAGCAGAAAGCTGGTTTTTCCTTCGTGATTTTAAGTTAGCCAGGATCAGGCCTGGGAAGTTAAGGATGGTGGTTGGACTTTGTTTCTTCACCTTCCCCTTCCAAATGGACACTAAACAGACACATAAGAAATGATTCTATTTCCAATAAAATTATATGCTTATTATTTAGGAGAAAGAATATGGTTTGGTAGAAAGGTTTCCATCTTCATGTTCTTAGCCCTGAAGTATTGGTCGTTTCATTTACTGGGCAAAATTCAGTGGAAATAATTAGAGGAACTAGCTGTCTTTTAGATAGTTTAGCTACACAACGTGGCTAAAACAGGCCAATGCTGTCATCACTCAACAGATCCATTGCTAGTTTAATAGGGTCTCTTTGAGAGCTGTTGTTCTACTTCTTTTTCTTTTAGTTAGACCAGAGCTCAAGCTTGATCATCTAAGTGTGATACTGACTCTACCCCATGGATTTAATTCAAAGCTTGCTGTATAAGAAAATTCAACCATAAGAAGAAAGGACAGATAAAAAAAACCCAGGCATATTTTCTAACTTGAATGAATAATTTTTTAGTTGGCTATGGCAATCTCATTGCAAAGTTTTGAAAGAACTTTCCTCTACTATACTTTTCAATGAATATAGGAAACTAGGAGACCAATCGTTACCTTCATCAAAATGTTTACAGACCATCCACACTCAATTATGGCTGTGGAGAATATTTGCCTAGCAAGTCGTTAACCCCTTTGAGCCTTCCGGTTGGTCAACAAAACGTTCCAGAATTGTTGTAAAGAAAATGCTGTTACAACTTTAAGCACCATATAAATTTGAGGAGTTATTCCTTAAACCCCACTGGTAAAGTATTCTTTTGGAATTAAGGCAAAGACAGTAACAGGAAATTTTTAATTGTATCTATATCTAAGAGACCTGCCTAAGTGAATACTGGCTTTTAGGTAATGCCAGGTGGGATCTGGATTCTTACTCTCCTGTGCTCATACATTCTGGATGGCGTTTTATTATCATTCTTCACCTAATTGGGGCTGGAATCACAGACCCTTTTTCTCAGCCATGCCTCTCAATAGTGATATCTCTAGGTTGTGGATACTATCATGTCTACTGTAAATGATCATATTAGCATATGTCATTCAGAAGCCACTAAAATTGTAACACAAAATGGCACACTTACTAATTTTAGCCAAACAGTCTATATCCCCACAAAAAGAAGAACAATAAGAATTCCAGAAATTTCCTTGTAAGACAATGGATTATTTCTCAAATATGTAACTTAAAATGGACAAGAGATCACATAGATGTTAAAATGCTGCTTTGAGCATGGAGAAACATCAAAGAACCTGAATATCCTTTCAAAACTTTCCTTAAAGTTATATAGAGATCAGTTAGCACTTGGATATATGTGAAAACATGTGGATCACAGATGTTCTTTGGAAAAGAAAATCATTAGTTCTCTTAGAATGGCTAATAATGATAGCTAATTCCTAAACAATCACGTTCACGCTGGTTTAACAAATATTTCAGAAAAAGAGCCTTGACTCATTCAACAAATATTTTGCTTATATTGTCACTTCTGTGCTTCTATGCTTATGAGATGGATCCTTATTTTTATTAATTGCCCATGACTAACATAACATTTCCAGTAGTTTGCTATTAACCTCTGCCCTGAAATAATACTTCTAATTCCTTATCTAAAAATAATTTGATGAATTATAAGTTGAAGCATGTGTCTGGTAGCCTTTCAAGGCAATAAGATGATTTTAAGAGACTGAAATCAGATGCTTCTTAGAAAATATTTAAAGCTGCAGCTGGGAACTGTTAGCTCTGCAAGGATATTCTAACAACAACAGCAACAACAACAAGGGCGATTTTCTTAAAACCATAATGAAAAACAGACATTTGGACATGCCAGTTATGTGGCAATGTGGAAGTAATTGGCTCATTTCCAGTTTGTGATGGTGAAAATCAGGTTTGCGGTATTTTAATACTATCCTAAAACTAACTTTGAATATTCTGTTTGAACTGCATATTAAGTGAAATTGCATTGATGATGACAGAATATTAGTAGAGGGGACTGAAGTTAAGATACTTAGATCTCTTGTAAAACCAAGTGTTTATCACCAGGTGCTGGGTCAGCACTGTATAACACGTGAGCATTGTTACTAGACAAACCAATCTAAAGAATATTCTACAGTAAAGTTGAAATATTATTGTGCAATATTTAACAAACACAATTGTGTTCTGCCAAGTAGTGTGCTGATATTTTTGTTTTTGTTTTTCTTTTAGGGGTAGATACAGGCATGCTTGGGGCAGGAGGAACAGACAAGTAGAAATATACCATAGTTTTTTCCTTCAAAATACAAATATGACTATGTTTCCAGAGAGGTCTATGGTTCTTAAAACATGACATGACCGGAAAGTGGGGATGAGAAACCACGAGCTAAAATAGATCACAACTGTTCTACACAATCTGTAGAAAGAAAAAAAAACCAACCAAAACGGGGAAGTAACAGTCTTAAAATAATTAGGCCAATCCATTCTCAGGAAACTAAAATGGTACAAAGGAACCACCTAAACTTTAAACACAGTAAATTTGCCAAGCAACATTACACTGAATATAAAGAGGGCAAAATATAAACAGTAGCCACATGTAAATAAATTAGTAAAACTTTCAGGATGTTACTACTTTTCAAACTGACAAAGTTTAATTTGACACCTTCTGTTCCAAACCCTTTGTTTCTATTCAAAATCACGCCTTTAGCTGCTATCAATCACAATGCTTCCCTTATTACTTAAAAAAAAAAAAGAAAAAACCCCTCACAAACCCAACAACTGGCACAAGCCCTAGTTAAGCTGAAAATGCCATGCAGATGAATTCTGAGATAATATGTTCAAACCTGTTATATACAACACAAATCCTGTAAAGTTATGTATTGTAAACCTACATTTATTGAGAACTAAAAGTCTTAAATCCATCTGCCACAAAGGAAATACTGTTATGCACTTTATAGTAACCAAGTACCATCTGCAAATGTCTTGCTACAGTAAGCAAGAAAACGGTGAAAAAGATGCTAAACCCAAGATGTATAAAAAAATAAATAAGCAGCTTCTTACTGTTTTTGGTTAGGGATTTATTAAAGAAACATAAGAGGTTTAAAAAAAATGAGAATACAGAATGAGAGCAAAACTATCGCAGGGAAAAAAAAAAGAGGAGGGGACCTCAAACTCAAAGATAATAACAATGACAATTTATGACAGTCCAGGAGGCGCATGACTGTATGCTCATTTTAAAGCAGAAATTAGCGGTTCTCGGCTCAATATTCTAATGATGTGCTTTACTGACAGGATCGTGTTGTACCACATTTAAATAAAAATCCTGGCACCTTCATCTCTCAGCTGCTAATTTCCTACCAGACAAAATCTCTGATTTCCACTCCACTCTCTTTTTAGAACAGTTAATTCAAGTCAATTCACTTTCCAACATTATAATGGATAAGGGGTGCACGCTGATTTTAATTGACTGAGTAAAGTAACCTCCTTTCAGGAATGAATTTATTGTACCTCTCAAGTCTTGCCAGAGCGATCCCTCCATATCATGAACAGCAGACAGTTCTGAGCAAAACTAGTTTTCCATGGAAAATACTTTAGTTTTCTGCAGGAAAAGTTCTTTTGCCTGCTACAGACAGGCACTGTGTGTGTGTATACACATACATACACATATATACATATATAGTGTGTGTATATATACACACACATACATGTATATATACATACATATGTATATATGTAGCGTGTCTGTAAAAACACACACATATATACATATACAATATACATACATATGCATTTCAAACCTTGTGAAGTAAAAAAATGACAATAATTTTCACTGTAACTAGGAGGCATAAATACATTTAAAAGAAAAAATAGAATGGCAATTTGAATGCTAAAAGGCAAAACATTTTATAGACTGTATGCTAAGATATGATTCCTCCCCT